GGGGCTGGAGGGACCAAAGCCGATTGCTGCAATGGGGGGGTGAGCGGGGGCGGGGCTGGCTGGTGAGGCACGGGGACTGGAGGCACCAAAGCAGGGGTGGGGGCTGCTGGCGGCGCGTTTCCTGTGAGGGGAGGGAGTATTGGGGGCAGGGCTGGCGGGGGGAGGAGGGCCCGAAAGGGCGCAACACCAGAAGAGGGGGCGGTGGCGGGAGTGGGGAGCGGACGGTGGGGATGGGACTCGCGACATGAGGGAGTGGGTGGGCAGGGGCGAATAGCGAGGAACAGAGTGACTGATGGGGGGGGGTGGCAGGAGCGATTGGCCTAGGTGGGAGGGGAGCTGTGGCCTCCTGTTAGGCTCACTTCTCAGGATCAGACCCTAGGAAGTCTCTTAGCCAGAGCCGCAGGGGAAGTTCTGCCCCTGCGAATGTGAGGCCATGACAGCAGCTTATGAGAGACTAGGGGTTGAGAAATTAATAATTAAAGACGACCCGTATTGAAATAAAACTAGGTTAAATTGAGGTTTGTCTTCCTCTTTATGCCTCATTAAAGTGGCACTTGAAGTAGATTAAGGGCTAACTACTACATGCCTTTGGCTTTTTAAATTTATTTTTTCTAGATAAGGTTTCTCTGTGTAGTTCAGGGTTTCATTGAAACTTACTCTGTAGACCAGGCCAGATATTGGCCTGCTTCTGCCTTTTGAATTATTTATTTATTGGTTTTTGAGGCAAGGCCTCACAAGTCCTGTATGTCCTGAAACTCAACAGTGTAGACCAGGCTGGGATTAATGGTGGGTGCCTACCCTGGCTTTTTTTTTTTTTTTTTTTTTTTTTTTTGGACTGTGGGGTTTTTGTTTGTGTTTTTTTTCTTTTTCAGGACAAGGTTTCTCTGTGTAACCCTGGCTGTCCTGGAACTTGCTCTGTAGACCAGGCTGACCTTTAACTTGGGATCTTTATGTGTTTTCATGTCTTTTCCTCCTGAGTACTGAGGTTGCAGGTTTGAGTCACCATACCCTACTATCTCAATATTTTTAATTTGTATTTTATTTCTTGTTTGACGCAGGGTTTCACTGCTAGCCCTGGCTGTGCCAGAACTCACTCTGCAGATCAGACTGGCTTTGAACTCAAAGAGATCCTCCTGCCTCTGCCTCCCAGTGGTGGAATTAAAGGTGTGTGCTACCACTGAACCACTCAGTTAATCTTCTTAAAAACTTGCATTTATTTATTTTTGTGTAGATGTGCATGTGCAATGGTGGATGTTTGGAGAGCAGAAGATAGACAACTTAAGGAGTTCGTTTTCTTCTATGTAGGTCCCTGGGATTAAATTCAGGTTGTTAAATTTCGTGGTAAGCACCATTTATTGCTGGGCCATTTCACTTGCCTGGACTTGGTTGGTCTTTAAATTGTAAAGAAATAAGAATCTTGGGTTCTATAATTCCAGAGTTTTACATATCTTTGTCAGTGGCCAGAAACTCATAATTCTATGAAGCATGCAACAGTTTATATATATATTTTCGAGGCCGGCTTTCTCTGGCTTTGGAGCCTGTCTTGGAACTAGCTCTTATAGACCAGGCTGGCCCCGAACTCACAGAGATCCATCTATCTCTGCCTCCAATCCAGAGTGCTGGGATTAAAGGTGTGGGCCACCACTGCCCAGGTCATACAACATATTATTGAGTATGAATAATTCCTGCAAAGTCACTCTGAAATTCATATCTAATATTGTTTGATTTTTTTCACTCCATTGTTGATAGTGCTGCCCCCAGAGAGACTCAGGAAAAATGATTTTCATCATGATCACAGAGGTATTTAAAATAGCTATGTCTCTTCAGCATTCTTTGAATGCTCTTATTTGAAATACTGCAGTATGTCAGTCCATGGGGATAAAATATGGAGGGAGGTACAGAGCAGAGTGGTGGGAAATAGATAAAATACAAAGAAAGTTTAGTTCATGGTGAAAATGATATTTGAAAGGAGTGGAGGCAGTAGATAAGTCAGCAGGCAGTTTGATAGTCAATGAACTGTTTGGGGAAAAAAAAATTAGAACATATTCAAGGCCCTAGGTTTAATCACTAGTGTTAGAAAAACAAAGCAACCCAAAAAAGTTGGAATTGGGGAATTAGTCCTGCTAACTTGAAGTTTACACACTCATGCTTTTTCAAGCAACCCTAACTAAATACAGTGCCCCCAAAAGATGTGGAAGTAGGAGAGGGAAAGAAGGGATTCTGTGTGAGGAGGACGGAGATGAGAGGATAATGGAGGGGAATGTGGTCTACGTGCATTACATTTCTGTGTATGAAGTTGTCAAAGAAGTTGCAATTCTTACTTGATTCACTCCTTATACCAAAATAAGTTTCACACAGATATTAAGAAACAAACAACAAAAACCCTAAAACTTTAAGGAACTGGGTATGGTGTAATTCCTAGCACTGAGAAGGCTATGTTGATGGGAAGCTTGTTAAAGTAGTTGAAGCCAGTCTGACTTACACAGGGGGTTCTGGCCATCCTGGAACTTGTGTGAGACCTTGACTTAAAAGAAAAATTTAAAGATAGGTGAATTTTGCATTATATATTATAATAGGCTATTTTCCTAAAATACAAAAACTTTTAAAATCAATAATTTGGGGAATTTTTGGAGAATGTTAACTCTGTAGCCCAGGTTAGACCTAAGAGTCTCATTATGTAGTCTATAGCCATAGAATTGAGTGGAATATAAACTGAGCTTTCTAGAGGATAGTTCAGCAGTTCCAGTATATTAAATACCCATACCTCTACCCAATTTTTTGTACAGGATCTTACTATGTAGAGCTGGATGGCCCGGAACTCTCAGGCCTCAACACAGATATCTACCTGCCTTTGCCTCCTTATTTCTACTATTAATGATCAGGGCCACCATACCCCACTTTAAATATTCACAATCTTCTTCAGCAATTCCATTACTAGTACTTTTTCTTTAACTCAAAAAGCTATTTTATCTCGTTTCTTTTTTTACTTTTAAAAATTTGTATTTATGCTGGGCTGTGATGGTACACGCCTTTAATCCCAGCACTTGGGAGGCAGAATCAGGTGGATCTCTGTAAGTTTGAGGCCAGCCTGGTCTATAGAGCAAGTTCCAAGGGTCAGACTCCAAAAAGCTACAGAGAAACCCTGGTTTGTGTGTGTGTGTGTGTGTGTGTGTGTGTGTGTGTGTGTGTGTGTGTGTGTGTTTGTGTTTGTATTTTTAGGACAGGGTCTCACTGGCTGGCCTGGAACTCACTCTATAGGCTACACTGACTTCAAACTTAGAGAAATCTGCCTGCTTCTGCCTGAGTGCTGGGATAGGTTTAACTTGTTCTATTTTTTGCGATGGTCTCTGTATAGCCTGGCTATCTTGGAACTTACTACTTAGATTACACTGACCTCAAACTGAGTTCTTGGCTCAGCTTCCTGAGTACTAAGATGAAAGGTGTGTGCTACCACACCAGGCATACCTCCAGCATTTGATGAGGATTGAGGATCTGGGTTTCTGAAGTGAGAAGTGCAAAGATTCACCTGGAGAAAATTGAGTACTCAGTAGAATCTAGTAGGCAAAGATTCTCAGGGATAGAGAGATGGTTCAGTGGCTAAGGACACTTGCTACTTTTTCAGAGTTACAACCCCAGAATTGGGTAGCTCATAACCACTTTAACTCCAGCCCCAGGGAATCCAACCTGCTCTTTTGGCCTTTGTGGGTAAACTGTGCCATAGGCAAACAGTGACATAAATAAAAAAGTTTTAAGGTTTTTTTTTTTTTCATTCCATAGCTAAAGGCTGGCCTGGAACTTGTGACAATATTCTTTCTCCATAACTAAAAATGACCTGGAATTCTCTGATGGCTATGACTGGGCTGGAACTTGTGACAGTCTCCTCCTTAAGCCTCCCAAGTGTTGAGACTATATCCATGAGCTACCTGATTTTAGAACCACTCCTTGATATTGATGCATCAGTTATTCTGACTTTGTAGTGACCAAAAGTAAACACATAATACTTCCTAATTATGTTGCTTCCCGTTTAGGGTAGCAGATTGATACGTATATAAGCATTTACAGTGAATGGTGATAAGAAAATGTGATGGGCAGAAGTGGTAGTACCATAGGGGTAGAGAAGAGAGAGGACAGCCATTTTCTGGTTTACTTTTTACAGTAGTCCTATGAAAGAAACAGTTCTTTTATAACTACTGCTCAAGAGCCTGTCTTGTGAAAGTCTAGGTGAGCTGGCTTACAGCATAGTTATTAGCATAGTTGGAGAGGTCTGAATCAAGCTATCTCACTGTTCAGTTCTGAAATATCTCCATATTTCTGAAATTTGCATATCTTACATTTGATGACAGTTATATATACATATAGGGACTTGAGAAGGATGTTGTAGCAGTTAGAAGTGCCTGTTGCTCTTTAAAGTATCCCAAATTTGGTTGCCAGAACTCAGTGTTGGATGGCTCACAACCACCTGTAACTCTAGCTCTAGAGGGTTCTAATATCTCTGGTCACTATAGGGACTTGCAGTCCACATATAGGCAGACAGACAGATACAATTAAAAAATCAAAATCAAAATCTTTTTAAAAAGAAGTGCATATAGGGGCTGTGTTCTAGCTCAGTTGGTAGAGTATTTACCTTAGCATGCATGTAACTCTGGGTTCAGTCACCAGCATTGCATAAACTTGACCATGGCAGGCATACTACTGTAATCCCAATCCTCAAGAGGGAGGAGGCAGGAGGATAAAAACTTCAAGGTCTTGTTCTATATTACATGGGGTTTAATGCCACCTCAATATCTAATGTAATAGATTATTATTTTGCTATTGAAGCTAACCTGGACACATGTAAGCTTTTTTTGTTTTTGTTTGTTTGTTTTTGAGACAGAGGTTCTCAGTAAACTATGGAGCCAGTCCTGAAACTTGCTCTATAGATCAGGCTGGCCTCAAACTCAGAGATCTGCCTGCCTCTGCCTCCCGAGTGCTGGGATTAAAGGTGTGCACCACCGCCATCCAGTTCACATAAGCTCTTAAAAGTATTTTCTGTCCTTGCATTTCAGAAGTTGCTTGTTTTTAGCATTTATTGGAGAGTTTTGATATTATATGGCCTGTTATTGGTAGCCCTCACTTTATGTTTTTTTCTTTTTTTTTGCCCCCCCCCCCCCAAGATTAGGTTCAGGGTTTTTGTATTTATTTTTGTTTTTTGAGACAGGGTTTCTCTGTGGTTTTGGAGTCTGTCCTGGAACTAGCTCTTGTAGACCAGGCTGGTCTCGAAGTCACAGAGATCCTCCTGCCTCTGCCTCCCTAGCCCTCGCTGTAAAAGCCTTTTTTTTTTCCCAGTTATATTCTTAACATGGATACAAGCAGCAGCGGCGGTGGCAGTGTCAGCGGCAGCAGCAGCGGCAGCAGCAGCAGCATCAGTAGTAGCAGCAGCAGCAGCAGCAGCAGCGGCAGCGGCAGCGGCAGCCGCAGTAGCGCCAGCAGCAGCAGCAGCGGCAACAGCAGCAGTAGCAGCAGTGCCAGCAGCAGCAGCAAAACCTGTAAGTAGCCCTCTCTTTCAACAGTAATGCACATCGAGCATCTTTGTAGAGATGACTGAAATGAGGTTTGGGACACTTAGCTTGATTTGGTCCTAGGCTTGTTCTCTTTGGGTTGTTGAAGTTTATTTCCCTGGTGTCAAGAGCAGGTCTTCGTGTTTGTGTGTGTTTAATGTGTTGTTTACTCCTTTTTGGTTCCTGGGTCATGTTTTATTTCCTCTCAATCTTTCTTGGGGGCATAAATTCTTTTTTTTTTTTTAATTTTCCTCCCCCTCTTCCTTTCTTTGACCTTCTTTCCATTGCTGGACAAAGAGCCCAAGGTGTAGTAGGCAAATGTTCTACCACTGACCTATGTCTCCAGTTTTGGGAAAATGTAAATTTTACTAGCTCTAATTTATAAATTGTTTTTCAGGAATAAAAGACATGAGCTACTAGGTTTTATCATGCTTCTTAATGCTTTTTCTTTCTTTGATTTATAGCTGTGACTAAATTGCCACAGAAAGAAACCAGGTAAGGAGAATTGTTGAAACATGACCATCTATCTATCTATCTATCTATCTATCTATCTATCTATCTATCTATCTATCTATCTGAAGTATCCACTATTCTGGGTAAGAAAATTTAAGAGTAAACATTTCATTTTCTCTGAGAATAAACACTATATGGTACTGACAGAATCACAATGGTTGTTTGAGTTTATAACCAGTTTTAAAGTATCTGATTCTAGTATTGGGCCATTTTTAACTGTTTAGCTGTTGGTTGCTTTTATTTATTTATAGTTTTTAGCTTATTTAAGACTTGATCTCACTGTGTAGCCCTGGTTTTCCAGAAACACTATATAGACCAGGCTGGCTTTTAACTCATAGAGATCTGCCTGCCTCTGCCTCCTGAGTGCTGGGATTAAAGACATGCACCACCACACATGACTAGTTTTTGGCTTTTTGAGACAGGGTCTCACTATGTAGCCCTGGCTAACCTGGAACTTACTATATAGATAAGGTTGACTTTGAACTTGTGGCCTCTGCTTCCTAAGTGCTAGGATTAAATGCATGCTCAGTTAGTTTGATTTTGAAAATGTCTTTGATCCATGATTTTTTAGTCTCCATCAGTCAAAAAGACGTTTTGTCTGTGATCTAGTCTGCATCTTGCCTCTAGGTGAATATGCTGAGTGTACTGAAATTATATTGATGCCCAATTCAAATAGCTCATCATATATATATAAAAATCAAGGTTTTTAACCTAGCAGTTAGAGCTTGTAAGTTGTAGGAAAAGAAGTGAGTAAGGAATGCATAGAAATTGGGTGAGAACCAAAAGATGACCATGTGCTAGAAATTAAGAGAAGCCTTTTAGTTTTTAATTTTTTTTGAGACAGTCTATGTATCTCTGACTGTCCTATAATTCACTATGTAGACCAGACTGACATCAAACTGAGATCCACCTGTCTCTGCCTTTTGAATTCTGGGATTAAAGATGTGCCACCATGCCCAGGAAAAAGACTCTAAAAAGAAAAAAATACTTAGTTATCTTTATGTGTATAAGCATTTGCCTGTTTTTATGTATGTGTGCCTTGTACCCATGAAGTCAAGAGGAGGGTTGTTGGACCCTCTGGAACCAGAATTACAACCAGTTACAGGCTACCACGTGAGTGCTGGGAACCAAACTAGGGTTGTCTTCGAGTAACAAGTGTGGAACTGGAAATGGTTTGGTGGTTAAGAACACTGGCTGATCTTCCAGAGGCCCAAGGTTTGATTCCCAGCACCCACATGATGGCTCACAACTGCCTGTAACTCCAGTCTCAGAGCACCTGATGCCCTCTTCTGGACTCCAAATGCACTGTATGCACACAGTGTGTATAGCCATACTTGCAGGCTAAACATCCAATACATAAAAAAATGAAAATTCTGTTTTTAAAAAGAGCAAGTGTTCTTATCTGCTGAGCCATCTCTCCAGCCCATAGAAGACATACTTGTTTTTTTTTTGTTTTTTTGTTTTGTTTGTTTGTTTTTTGAGACAGGGTTTCTTGGCTGTCCTGAACTTAACTCTGTAAACCAGACTTACCTTGAGCTCACAGAGATCTGCCTGCTTCTGACTCCTGAGTGCTGGAATTGAAGGCGTGTGCCACTACCTAGCCTCGAAGAAAGGTTCTTTAAGGTTAGAGTAGTAAATAGGATAGCAAAGGCCCATCAACTTGGCAGCTTAAAAGAGATCATGTACAGCCGTGCGGTTGTGGCGCACGCCTTTAATCCCAGCACTTGGGAGGCAGAGGCAGGCGGGTCTCTGGGAGTTCGAGGCCAGCCTGATCTACAAGAGCTAGTTCTGGGCCGGGCACCAAAGCTACAGAGAAACCCTGTCTCGAAAAACCAAAAAAAAAAAAAAAAAAAGATCATGTACAGTAGAAATAGATTAGCCTTGGTATCTATAATGGATACAGAAAAATATAGTAACAGGTATTTGGAGTGCTTTTCATTCATCATAAAAATATTTCGTGTTCAGGAGATGGATCACTGGGTTAAGTAAGGTACTTGCCACAGAAGCCTGATGACTTGAGTTTGATTGTCAGAATCCATGTAAAGGTGAAAGAGAAGTGACTTCACAAAGTTGTCCTGTAACCTCCAGTTGTGTTCTGTGGTACATGCACACACCCACACACACTATATACTTCCCCTACAATGATGACTTTTTAAAAAGTATATCATACAGAGGGTTCATGGCTATAATCAGAGCCCTTGGAAGGCTGAGGCAGAGTTTCTCTGAGTTCCAGTATATTTTGGGATAAAGAGTATGTGCTAGCTAATTTTATGTCAGCTTGACACAGGCTAGAATCATTTGAGAGGAGGGAACCTCAACTAAGAAAATGCCTCCATAAGATTGGGCAGCAGGCAAGCCTGTAGGACATTTCTTGGTGATTGATGTGGGAGGGCACAGCTTATTGTGGGTGGTGCTATCCCTGGGCTGTTGGTCCTATGTTCTATAAAAAAGGAGGCTGAGAAAAACCATGATGAGCAAGCCAGTAAGCAGCACTCCTCCATGTCCTCTGCATTAGCTCCTGCCTCCAGGACTCCAAACTCCTTTTGTCCTGACTTTTCGTTGATGTGGAAGTATAGACCAAATCAACCATTTCCTCCCCAAGTTGCTTTGGTTATGGTGTTTCATCACAGCAATAAGATAGAAATTGGTGCCAGGATAGGGCATTGCTATGACAGACCTGACCTTGTCATTTGGGGGTCGATTGTGAAAGTACTTTGGAACTTCGGGGCCAGAAAATCCATTGAGCCTGGTGAAATGTTCTATGGGAACTTGGAAGATAAGTGTTGAGAGAAATGCAGATGATGGAGGTGTGGTTTTTGAAGTTCCAGAGGGAAGATTGGAAATCACTTAAAGACTCTGATTAGGGCTGTTACGTTATCTTGTGTTAAGAATCTGTGTGTGGAAGAATTGGTTGTGATTATCAAGATACCAAAACCACTAAAGTGAGAAAACCCTTTGCTTTGCTGGGATAATTGATGCTGGACAACTAGAGCTGAGAAATCAGCAGTGATTAAGAAGAACACACCATCGTTGAGGTGAATCTTGTGGGAAGTGTTTTCTCAGAATTAGTACATAGAAGTGGTACTCCAGAGGTGACCTAGGTTGTACCTTGTGTTGGCAGCAGAACCTGGTAGTGTAAGAGTCACCCAGGTGGTACTGGTTTTGAAGTCATGAAGGTATCGTGGAGAGTAGCTGAGACTTGGTGTGGCAGGGCTGAAGTCCCTGAAGAGAGCCCAGGAGAGGCTTTTGGTGAAAGTACAGCGCAATTGCCGCAAGAGACCTCCACATTTTGGAGATGCCAGTACCATAGGACAACTACCAAGAACAACAGTAGTGGAGTGGAGTCGTCCTGATCTTAGGAGACAATCTGTGTGGGCTATAGCGGGTGGAGCCAGAAAAGTGGTCCTTTAGAGAAGCCCAGAAGATCGGGACTTGAACCCAGATATTGGACATTGAATTATTTACACAGTTGGAGTTTGGTTTGCTTTATTCAGAATGTGACTGTGCCCTGGTTCTTCCCTCTTGAAGTAAGATAGTGCTTAGTTTTGATTTTACAGAAGGCCACAGTTGAGAGACTTTGAACTTTTTAAAGAGATTTTGAAAATTTACAAAGACTTTGGATTTTAAGAGACTTGATATGTTAAAGATACTAAAAATTTTTTAAGTGTTTGGAATTTTAAATACTGCGGGACTTGTACATTTTGTAATGTTTATATTGTAATGTTTATTAATGTGTGATCTTGTTGATGAACAAGAAAGGAAAGGTTATATCTTCCCAGTGATATCTTTGTGTCAAGTTGACAAGGGGTCAGTGAGAACCTTTGCTCTCTGGCTCTCTTCCACAAACTCATCTCAGAGTTGAAGAATGATAAGCTCCCAATGAATTTTTCCCTGCCACCAAAACTATTTTGAGTACTTGCACTCTGACAAGACCCAGTTTACTTTTCGTAGCCGACAGACGCCTCCTTTGGGAAGTTTGTAAGAAAGGGGAAAGGTGTGTATAGAGTAATTGGAATAATTGAAAGGTTGTAGTTCCAATAAAGGGGAACAGCGTTAGTGTAGTAGGAAACAACCAAAACTTAACAAGTAATCCTGCTTATTGTAGAAAATATGGAAACTGCCCAGAAGGAAAGAATATTATGCTCATATTTTCCTTTTGTTTTTTTTTTTCCACCTTATTACTTAGCTGTGTGGTGATTGACTCAGACTCTGACTCTCTCTATGAGGAAAAGAGATCTAAGATCTGTGAAATAAGCAGTGAAGGCAAGTATCATCTTTGCTTAGAGAAATAGCTGCTCTGAAGCCTTGTCACATGTGGCAGTTTTAGGATCTGACTCTGCACATTTTTAAGTTTATAATGACCTTGAGGCCAGTGCCACCCTTTCTTTTTTCATTATGTGCTGGATGTCAATATGGCTGGCTTCCTTCTCTCTCTCTCTTTTTTTTTTTTTTTTTTTTTTTTTTTTTTTTTGAGACAGAGTTTCTCTGTGTAACAGTCCTGGCTGGCTTCAAACTCACAGAGATCCACCTGCCTCTGTCTCTCAAGTGCTGAGATTAAAGGCCTGAGCCACCACTGCCCAACTATGGCTGGGTTCCTCACCTTGATCTGTTTCCTAACACAGTTGCAACTCTTCTGCTGCCTTAGGGTTCTATTTGCCTAGACTCCACTCCTCCATCTTCCTCTCCTTCCATCCTTTATAGGTGGGTATGACAAGGAAGAGGAGAGGGTGAGAGGCATGGCTCAGTCCTCTTTCCAGTTTGGTGGAGACTGGAGCTGGGGGAGGTGCCAACTACTATCTACTCTATACACTATTTGTATAAGGTAGAAATCACCAAAAGTCCAGCTATGTCATAGGACTAAATAAAGAAGTTTTTTAAACTAGAGAACTTTAACTTGGTATAAATGAAATACCACTTTATTGATGTAATTGCCCACATTTTGCTGTGAACCACAAGGCAGCAGGTTTGTGTTTAGGAACAACTGAGCAAGTACTTCATGTTGTTTAGACAATGTGATTTTAAAGTGGGCATAGCATACATAATACTTTCATTGCTAATTTATCTGTTATTACTCTTAGTAAAACACAAAATACAGGGAAAACAATCTATAAGTATGATTTTTAACTGTGATTCAGAATGTCCAAACACTCAGTTTTTTTTTAATTTGTGCTCAATAACCTGCTGATGTCTGTATATACAGAGTGGGTTGGATAGAAGGAGTATATTTATAGATGTCTCTTGAATTTCAGATGAGTCTTCTGACGAGTCTTCTTCTGACGAGTCTTCTAACGCTAAGGGCTCCAGCGATCAGAAGTCTCAAGTAATTGTTATCGATGATGAAGATGACAATCCCAATTTAAAGGGTTCTGAGCAGAAAAAAGATGTTTCTAGTGATGAGTGCCAAATGCCTGTTCTCGAAAAAGAAATTGATTGTATTGCTCTTGGGGCTACTTCATCTGCTGATGTTTGTGAAATAGGGGCCCCTGGAAAAAGTCCCAAACAACCACCACTGGAGCCTGAGCCTGAGCTAGAGCAGGAGCCTGAGCCTGAGCCTGAGCCTGAGCTAGAGCAGGAGCCTGAGCCTGAGCTAGAGCAGGAGCCTGAGCTGGAGCTGGAGCAGGAGCCGGAGCCGGAGCCTGAGCTAGAGCGGGAGCCCGAGCCAGAGCCGGATCCTGAGCCTGAGCCCAATCCCGAGCCCGAGCGGGAATCAGAGCCAGAGCCAGAGGGGGATCCTGAGCCAGAGGGGGATCCTGAGCCAGAGGGGGATCCTGAGCCAGAGGGGGANAGGGGGATGTCGAGCCAGAGGGGGATGTCGAGCCAGAGGGGGATGTCGAGCCAGAGGGGGATGTCGAGCCAGAGGGGGATGTCGAGCCAGAGGGGGATGTCGAGCCAGAGGGGGATGTCGAGCCAGAGGGGGATGTCGAGCCAGAGGGGGATGTCGAGCCAGAGGGGGATGTCGAGCCAGAGGGGGATGTCGAGCCAGAGGGGGATGTCGAGCCAGAGGGGGATGTCGAGCCAGAGGGGGATGTCGAGCCAGAGGGGGATGTCGAGCCAGAGGGGGATGTCGAGCCAGAGGGGGATGTCGAGCCAGAGGGGGATGTCGAGCCAGAGGGGGATGTCGAGCCAGAGGGGGATGTCGAGCCAGAGGGGGATGTCGAGCCAGAGGGGGATGTCGAGCCAGAGGGGGATGTCGAGCCAGAGGGGGATGTCGAGCCAGAGGGGGATGTCGAGCCAGAGGGGGATGTCGAGCCAGAGGGGGATGTCGAGCCAGAGGGGGATGTCGAGCCAGAGGGGGATGTCGAGCCAGAGGGGGATGTCGAGCCAGAGGGGGATGTCGAGCCAGAGGGGGATGTCGAGCCAGAGGGAGATGTCGAGCCAGAGGGAGATGTCGAACCAGAGGGAGATCCCGAGCTGGAGCCCGAGCTGGAGCCCGAGCTGGAGCCCGAGCTCCAGCAAAGTGTTACAGCCCAAGAGTCCAAGGAGAGAAAGGCGGCCGCTCTGCTGGCGCAACAAAGGAGAAAGAAAAGAAAGAATAGATTTATATGCATGGCTCCACCTAAATCACGTAGGAAACGGCGTCGGGTAGTCTCACAGGATGTGCCCAGCCTGCCAAGTGCCTCTGCAGAGTCTAGTCCCCCTGATGATCCCACATCATCAGACCAACCTGCCAAATGCATGCCATTAAAGAAACGCGGAGGCAAAAGGGCACGTACACACGAGTAAAAAGGATCTTTCTGCAAATGGTGGTGGGGGCTCCCATGTCCATCTTATGCTCCAATATGTTAGCATTTACAGTTCAGTCCCCATGGAGTGCTTTTTCCCTGAATTCCTGTCCCCATGATATCTTGGGTCATCATCCTTGACATGCCCCCACGACAAATTGTCAAGTCCTCTATGCAGCCAAAAGTTAGAGTAACGCCTCCATCTTGCGTTCCCAGTTTTAGAGTTTTTCTCGTGTTGTAACATGTTGCCAAATTTGTCCTCTTGGTAGTTTGTTCATAAGAGGACTCTTAATGATTTATTCTCTTGAGCCTTGTGAGTGGCATGTAACAGATGTTTAATAAATTTGTTAAATAAAATGAGTGAAGTCTTTGGCTGGAGTTACTGGTGCCATGCGTGAGTTCTGGAAGAAGGCAAAAGGCAAAGTTAGACATGGAAATTATGTGAAGGTGCTGCTGGGAATATATATGGGGTATACCATACAGGCATCATAGTTGCGGTTGGTGACCCTAGTTGGAGTCACACAGAAGGTATGCAGCCTGTCTTGTTGATAGGTAACTGCCCTGTGCTTGCCTGTGAGCCTTTTTTTTTCTTTTTGGTTTTTTGAGACAGGTTTTTTCTGTTTAGCCCTGGTTGTCCTGAAACTCCCCTTGTAAACCATGTTGCCTCAAATTTGGAGATCCCCCTGCCTCTGCTTCATGAGTGCTAGGATTAAAGGCGTGCTCCTCCTCTACTATCACCCCACTAGAAGAGGTTTTTTTTTTTTTTTTTTTTTTTTTTTTTTTTTTTTGTTTTTTTTGATTTTTCGAGACAGGGTTTCTCTTTAACTTTTGGTTCCTGTCCTGGAACTAGCTCTGTAGACCAGGCTGGCCTCGAACTCACAGAGATCCGCCTGCCTCTGCCTCCCAAGTGCTGGGATTAAAGGCGTGCACCACCATCGCCCGGCTTAGAAGAGCTCTTTTTGAGCTTCCCTTTCTGCTTGATCGTACTGATGTTCAGGGTACTACAATCAACTATTATTTTTTTAACTGATAGTGGACAAAAAAATTGGGGGCCTTCCAGAAGAAACCCATTGCAGTAAAAGTTGAAAATTGCAAAGACTGGATATGTGCACTGCTAAAGTACTCACTTGCCTGGGATTTGATTCCAGTATCCAGGAGATACTGGAGACTCCAAGGGAATGAACAGGAGTCTGGTTAGATGAAAGTTTCTGACCCTAAGTGGGCATGTACATACAGAGTGATGAGGTCATCTTCTGGTCCTGTGTGTTGTCATGGTATACCCCTCTACCCCCAGCCATCCAGCCTAAGGACCTGGCAAAGCGGCTTCCTTCATCCTCACAGCAGCTCTGGCCTCTAAAGTTTCATTTGTCCTTAAAATCAGGACAAAGATGGATATGTAGCCAAAGTATGTATTAGGCTGGACACAGCCTGATGGTCATCAGTTTGTACTTAATAAGCCAATACAGTTGATGTGATGGCACATTAATACCAGCACTTGGCAGGCAGAGGCAGGACAATTAGGAGTTCTAGGCCACCCTCTACAAATCGAGTTCAAGGTCAGACTGAAGCTACCTGATACTCTTAAAAAGCAACGAAGAAAGTAATTACAGTGGAGAAAGAGCCTACTTTCTGACTTGAGATAGAAGGGAAGGTAGTTAAAAATGACTTCCAGGTTTCTCCATGAACATATTTCCCCTTTTGTGTGTATTCTTGGGTTTTGTTTTGTTAGATAGGATTGGGGTTACAGTCCTTAGATTGCTGTGAAGCACTGTGCCCCTGAGCTGCATCGATGCTATCCTGTGAATTTTCAAAGCGTCCTTGACTCAGAAAAAAAAGGTTAGGGTGAAGTAGATTATTTGGAGTTTTTGTTTTGTTTTTTGTTTTTCTTCGAGACAGGGTTTCTCTGTAGCTTTGGAGCCTGTCCTGAAACTAGCTCTTGTAGACCAGTCTGGCCTCAACTCAGAGATCTGCCTGCTTCTGCCTCCTGAGTGCTGGGTTTAAAGGCGTGCACCACCACTGCCCAGCTTATTTGGAGTTCTTTAAGAGTTACAGGTGGGGGAGGGAGAGGGGAGGCGGAGGTGGGGAAGAGACAGAAATATTTAATAAATAAATAAAAAGAGTTACAGGAAGCCCTTAAAAACAAGTGATTGTATGAGTCAAAGACATGTTAATACTTAGCTAGAAGTTGTTACGTTTTCTCATTTAGATTCTTAAAATCTCATTTTCCCCCTCAAAATAGGATTTTCAATTTTTATCTCCTGCTTTACTTCCATTCAGGGGTAATGCACACTTATATCTGAATTATCTTTTGTTTTTGTTTTTTAAGACAGGTTTCTTTGTGTAGCCCTGGCTGTCCTGGAACTCACTCTGTGGGCCAGGCTGGCCTCAAACTCAGAGGTCTGCCTGTCTCTGCCTCCTGAGTGCTGGGATTAAAGGTGTGCACCACCACTGCCTGGCTACAGCTGAATTTTTGAGAAGGAGCGCAGATCTCTGAGTTCAAGGCCAGCCTGGTCTATAGAGAGTTCCAGGTCAGCCAGAGCCACATACAGAAACCCTGTCTTGGTGGAAAAAAAGAAAAAGAAAAAAGAGAGAAAGTAGATCTGAAGAAGCATCGTGTGTGTGTGTGTGTGTGTGTGTAAGCATTTTGATTTTTTGTGGGTTTTTTTGTTTTGTGGTGCTTGGGGATGAACTGACTACTTCAGCTTGGTGATACTCTTAAGCTTATATTTTGGGAGAAAAATTGTCTTCAGGGAGGGGAAGGGGAAAAGATATGCCAGGCATTGGGTAGGGGAGGTCAGTTTAGATCTGAGAAAAAAGACTGTCCCTGTGCTTTTTGGTGGCTGAGATGATTGAGACAGTTTACCATGTGCTCTTGGATCCCCTATCAACAAGGCTTCATCTCTGCATTCTATATGCTTTTTTTGCGGGGGAGGGGGGAGCATTTGAGACAGGGTTTCTCTGTAGTTTTGGAACTTGTCCTGTAACTGTAGACCAGGCTGGTCTTGAACTCACAGAAGTCTGCCTGCCTCTGCTTCCCAAGTGCTGGGACTAAAGGCATGCATGCATCACCACACTCAGCTTCTATGTATGCGGTTAAGCTGGTTTGTCTGTAGGGATGCTTGTTTTGATAATAGCCAGGTTGCTTTGCTAGAGACTGACAGAAGAAAGGAGAAGCTGCCTCGTGGTGTCCTGTCACTACCCTATCTGAAGGTGACTAGCTTGTTTGAATTTTTACCACTATCTTACTGTACTCCATCTCTCTGAGAGCCTCCTGCACTGCTGCCCATAGCTCTTGTCTAGGCTGCTTGTTGTTAGTTTGGATGTGGGGTGCACAAACTTTGAGGAAAAGTTTGCTAATAAGTCTAAAGGCTAGCTTTCTCTGAGTAGACACGGAGGTCCCATTCTCTGCTGCATCTGACAGCTGGTACTGGTTGTCATCTGCCTTTGCTGATAAATGTCTAGTGTTAAAGCAAAAATGTGAGCTTGTGAAGCCAAACTCACTGTGTTGGCAGTTCATTTTTCTAGCTCTGTGGGCTTCTCTGGTTGTGGTTTGCTCTAGCCATAATTTTTTAAAAGCCTCCTCCAGGTATAATGGCACATATGGTAAATACTAGCAATTGGAAGGAAAAGGCAGAATGATTCCCACGAGTTTGGGGCCAGCCTTGCCTATGTGACAAGAGCCTATCTCCTTAAAAAAAAAAAAAAAAAAAAAAGAACACTTCCAGAGGGAGGAAGGGTTGTAGACACCAGAGGGGTCAAGGACATCACAAGAAAACTCACAAAAACAACTTACCTGGGCTCATAGGGACTCACAAGATCTGAACTGACAACCAGGAAGCCTGTATGGGACTGACCTAGGCACTCTACATATATGTTACAGTTGTGTAGTATAGATGGAGTTTCCTGTCTCATAGCTGTTTCCCAAATAACTGATGCAGAGATTCAATATTAGTTGTAAACACTTGGCCAATAGCTCAGAGTTGTTACCAGCTAACTCTTAACATTTAAATTAACCTGTATTTCTTATCTCCGCTCTGCCACATGGCTTGGTACCTTTTCTCAGTATGGCATGCTCATGTTGTTTCTCTTTGTCTCTGCTGAAGACTCGAGACTCTCCCCTTCTTCCTCCCAGCAGTCTCCTAGTCTGGCTCTCTAGCCCAATCTCTTTCTGCCCAGCTACTGGCCAGTCAGCTTCCTTATTAAATCAATCACAGTGACATATATTCACACAGTGTAAAGGCATATTCCACAGCAGTGTAGCTTGCTCTGCTTCTGGGATTCCTAACAATGGGAGTAGGACCTGTCCCTAACACTTTGGCCGGCTCTTGGGAACCTGTTCTTCATACTTCATAGAAGGGAAGGTGCTTAGTCTTACCTTACCTCAATATGCCATGATTTGTTGATACCCATGGGAGTCCTGCCCCTTTCTGAACATAAATAGAGGAGAAGTGGATTGGGGCAGAGGAGAAGAGGGAGGTGGCACATGCAGAGGCAGGCAGATCTCTGTGAGTTCGAGGCCAGCCTGGTTTACAAGAGCTAGTTCCAGGACTGGCTCCAAAGCTACAGAGAAACCCTGTCTCCAAAAACCAAAAACCAAAAACCAAAAAAAAAAAAAAAAAAAAAAANNAAAAAAAAAAAAAAAAAAAAAAAAAAAAAAAGCTGAGTGGTGGTGGCGAACGCCTTTAATCCCAGCACTTGAGAGGCAGAGGCAGGCGGATCTCTGTGAGTTCGAGACCAGCCTGGTCTACAAGAGCTAGTTCCAGGACAGGCTCAAAAAACCAAAAGAAAAAAGAAAAAAAAAAACCAAACAAACCAAACACTAAAAAGCAAATTTAAAAAACCCACTTCTATTTACATCAGTAGTAATTGAGCATTGTCCCAATCATGGTTGAATGGAAAGACTGAGGATTTGGGTCAGAAGATCCATTGTCTCTGACTTTTGGGTCAGACACCTGAGCTTTAGTGTCCTCATTTGCAAGATAGAGATGGGAACAAACAATGATGTGATGCAAAGAGAGGTTCTTTGCAAATACTAAAATGCCACTGGTGGGTCTCAGGAAAGGCAGAGATGGGTCACTCTGTATCACAGGAAAGAGTTGATGCCGAAGCACAAAAATGGGAAATCACCATTCACTCCAGGGAATGTTTGAGCTGCCCACTTTGAGCAGAGTAGAAGTGGTGGCTGGAAACAGTGGCTAGAATCACATTGACTCAGGCCTGAATACCAGGCCAGCTGGTCAAGGAAAAGCCAGAAGGAAACAAAATGAATTTGGAGGTGAGTGGGTACTGGGTTAGAATGAAAAGAGCCTGGTAGTTAGAGAGTGCTGTTGTATGAAGGGGAAGGCAGGACTTGATGAGAGAGGTGGACCTGAGTTGCAAAGCAGATGCTGTCCGGGAGAGCCCACAGTCAGAAGATAGCAGTTCACATTCCAGTTGAACACAGGGTAAGGGAAAATGCATTCAAAATGCCTCCAAGGTTTTCTGTCAGTTGTGACAGAATTTTCATTATGGAGCCTGTTAGGCTAAAGATAGACTCATAAATCTGTTGGGAATTTACAATGAATAAATGAAAAATCAGAAACATCAGAGACTGAAGCTGTAGGTGTTGTTATCAGCCTTGAGGTTGAAACCTGGCCTCATATGTTTGAGAATGTGTGCCAAGAGTAAAGAGAAACACTGAATGGAGCCTGGGAAATAAATGTTCATATATGATGAGTCGGAAGGAAAGAACGGCAAGTTTTTA